CAATCTCATATTAAAGAATAATTTAATTATAAGTGATATATAAATATAAAAATTAATTAGTATTAATAACTTGAAGACTTATGAATTTTAATTTGAAAAGTTATTAAATTAATGATAAATTTCAATTAGCTAGAATCATCTTAATAATATGGATTAACCATTTGATAATTGGTTTTAGTTAGACCCTTACATGGCATTTGAGTCGCTTGATTTTCCAACATAATAAAGAGAGAGTTCAATGCTTTAAACCATTTTCTATCCTCTGCGCCTCTCTTTTTTTTTTTAAAGACCCAAGAAGAAAAGGAGCTTAAATTATTAAAAAATGTAAGTAGAAAGTTAAGACTTTCTTAATCTTGATTATAAATTTATAAATACAAAAGGCCAAGGAAAAGTCCAAAAAAAGAGCAGGTACCTGCCACTGGATCTGTTAATCTTGGATTTTTTTGGCAGATTAAGGTGATCACCAACTTCGTAACTTTGCTTAATTATTTTATAATTAGGTCTGTAAAGACTGCCACAAATAAATTTTTATTGAAGGGCAGGAGGGGGATGATGATGGATGACATAATGCATTCTCATGTTCAAACAAGGCCCCTACAAAACCTGAGTGATCTCAAAGCCTGGAAATGAAGCAGGGGTAGTGTGCAGTGAGGAACAGAATCCAGGGCAGCTAAATTGTGCTGCCTTTCTCAAACATGGGTTGTTGCCAATAAAAGCCAAACCCAGTTAGCCTATATCTCACTAGTTTATTGGATTTTTGCATAATGTTCCAAGAAGAGGGAACTCTGTTCATGTTGGTTTGCTTGATCTTTTCCACCGCCAAAAACAATTTGAAACTTAGGTCGGCATCATGCAGCTAAGCTGTGTGATTCTTTTCTTAATGACGGGCTAAAGAGGTTTGATTTTGAACAAGAAGGCAGGAGAACATGCCATGTTTATTCCTTTGCTTTGCATTTATTCATGTCAAAATACTTACGTAGAGTAACTCAATTATTGAAAAGGTCCAAATTAAAGGTTAAAGTAGTTGTGAACCTAACTCGAGTAGCTAACCTTAATTAGGTCAAAATCATGAACCAAAATGAGTTAACTAAAGTTATAGAAGTATAATGGTATGTACAATATGAAATGTTTGTATAATAGAATGTGATATAGTATGAGTGATTTTTTTTATATTAAAAACCACCTATAATTGTTAGTATATATATAATGTTATATTATATTATATTATATATATTATTATTATAATATTGGTTAAAGGTTAACTCTTTTTTGGGGTAAATGACATCAATCAAAAGAAAATCAAAATCACCAATTAAACACAAAATATTTAAGAACAATGACACATTTATAGATAATGTGTCAAGATAAAAAATTTTCAAGAAATTATTTTGTGATCGTAACCCCTTAAATGAGTGCATAAGTCATTAATGAAATGAATTAGGACAACCCTTGGACCCCATGATAGTGTTGCACTAGATTTGAACCAACATCTTTGAAAATGTGGTTCCATGAAATCAGAAGTAACCCTAGTCATGGCCAATCAAAAGATTAAATTTACCATACCTCACTACCTCAGCGCTCTAACATTCAGAAACATTAAATAACACATTAACTCAATCTTAACAGAAAACCCTGCAACTCTCAACTCCATATAGATGTCTTGTAGCAGAGATGCTATTCTTTCTGATACATATTCATTAAATGTGAGAGAGAAAGGCATAAATTCATTTTAGTCATTTTTTAACCAAAAACACTAATTTAATTAACTTTTTTTCAGAAGACCCAGCATTTTTGTTTCAAGAAAAAAAAAATAAATACAGTTTTGTTGAGCTGTGTAACAAACACTTCCCTTCTTACAATTTTTTATTATTATTATTTTTGACCAACTTCCATCACATGGTCCCTCAAGGGCTCAACACCAGGGTCATGGTCAAGCTCATAAATCTCAGTTATCTTCTCTTTCTCTGTTTCCATATTAATTTGTTCATTTCTTCTTCTTCTTCTCTCTATCTTGCTCTTTGTAGGAGAAATAATGTGGGATCGAGTTGAGGAATCATGAGGGTTTTGAGCTTTAGTCTTCGGTTATTGTGGGGGGTTCTTGCTTTTGTTCTTGGGTTTTTCTCGGATCAATCATTTGGGTTGAATTTAGATGGTGTTATTTTGCTTTCTTTCAAGAACTCTGTTCTAAGTGATCCTCTGTTTGTGCTTGAGAACTGGAATTCGAACGATGAGACGCCGTGTTCGTGGAATGGGGTGAAGTGCACGGCGATGGGAATGGGGAATAGGTACTTGCAGGTCACCGGTTTGTGTCTTCCGAACTCTGGGCTTTTGGGTTCCATTCCGGCCGATCTGGGTATGGTTGAGAACCTGCAAATTCTTGATCTTTCCAACAATTCGCTTAATGGGTCCCTGCCGTCTTCGCTTTTTAATGCGACCCAGCTTCAGTTTCTTGATTTGTCTAACAATTTGCTGTCCGGGGGGCTGCCAGAAACGGTGGGGAGGTTGCGAAGCCTCCGGATTCTTAACCTCTCTGACAATGCGTTGGCGGGAAAGTTACCCGCCAGTCTCACTACAATCCAAAATCTAACTGATGTTTCTTTGAAGAGCAACTACTTCGTCGGCAAACTTCCAGGTGGATTTCAGTCTGTTCGAGTTCTAGATCTGTCTTCGAATCTTCTGAATGGGTCCCTGCCGCCAGATTTTGGTGGTGCCAATATCCGGTACTTGAATGTATCTTACAACAAGATTTCCGGTGAAATTCCGCCGCAATTCGCCGAGAAAATTCCGAGCAACGCCACAATTGATCTATCGTTCAACAATCTCACTGGAGAAATGCCAGATTTTGATGTTTTCAATAATCAAGACCCGAAGTCCTTTGATGGGAATTCCGATCTGTGCGGTGGAGAAACCAGGCATCCCTGCCCAGCACCCAGCGTTTCTGCACCAACTTCTTCTCCGGCAATTGCTGCAATCCCCAAGACAATAGATTTCAATCCAGCAACCAACACGAATGTACCGGTGGCAGTGGCTCGTCAACAACAAAAGCAAAAAGGATTGAAAACAGGAGCTATAATAGCAATTGTAGCCGGAGACGTCGCCGGAGTTGGAGTCGTTGCTATGTTTTTCGTCTATTTGTACAGATTAAAGAGAAGAAGAGACGCCGAGACTGCGATGAAGCAAGAAGCTAGCACAACAAAGGAGACTTGGTCTGTGTCGTCATCGTCGTCAGAATCAAGAGGGTTCACAAGATGGGCATGTCTCCGCAAGAGAGCAAATGACGAAGAAGGATCATCAGACACCACTTCCGATGCCAATCAAGAAGACCATAGAAGTCACGATTATCAACAACGGCAACCAGACCACCAGCAAGATAGAAAGGGAACACTGGTGACCGTCGACGGGGAAAATAAGGAGCTCGAGCTAGAAACTTTACTCAAAGCATCAGCTTACATTTTAGGGGCCACCGGGTCCAGCATAATGTACAAGGCAGTACTTGAAGACGGCACAACTCTCGCCGTCCGCCGGATCGGC